AAAAGCAAGATGTTTCTTCATGGACCTTCATGCAGAAGACATGGGACAGTAGCAACCCTGACAAAGCATTTTTAATCTATTCTTGGGAGTCTAGGCAATGGCAGGTCCAGATTTCATTGAAGTACCTGTGATTTTTGCTTCCATGGCACTGCAGACCACAGCATGAGTGGGATTATCCCCCCCAGGTCTCCCAAGTGGCCAGTTCAGGCCTTTCCAGACCACCCCAACATACTGACCTCCCGGGTAGGGGAGGAACCTGTGTGTGGTGTGGCAGTGGTCTGACATGTAGGAGAGCACAGGTCTGCTCTGCAAAGGGGTGCACACTTCCTTGCAGCAGCGGGCGAGAAGGAATGCGGGAGATAGGAGACGGCGTGTACAAAAAGGAGCGTGGGCGAGCATTTCTCAAACGCGTGCGCTCCTGTTCACAAGTCCCCCTGGCCCTTCTGGTTGTGAGGCGAGGCAGCAATTAGGCTGATTGAAGGCCCACTTGATTATTGCACAAGCCTGGAGGCCGTGCCCCTTGCAGCTGCGTGGTTCAAAGCCCATGGGGAGATAAGGATCTGGATTGTTTGAGGAGTGCAGGGGCAATCCAAGGACAGATCTGGCTGCACAGTGGGTTCTTACCTGTAACTCCCCCCTTTTTCAAGAATCTTATCCCAAAGCCTTCCTGAACCTACAGTAGCACGAGCGGAGCTTCTTTCCCCCATCCAACCTCTTGTAATTAGTCATGAGTTCGCACAATTAGCTCTCTCTGCTTACTTACCAGCCTGTTCATGTAAGCTCCTGCTCCTCAGCTTCCGTGAAAGCTCTCTTTGCCTTCCTGCCCTGATCACTAGTGGCAGGGCTAGAAACCCAACCAGCACTGAGAGTGAAGCCTGATTTGGTGCCTTGTGGGTGGACTCTCCCAGCACTGAGCAAATCTCCCACAGGTGGGGCATATACAATATCTCTGCAGGGTGGATTCTCAGGTGTCTAACCAATGTTGAGCCATGCCATACTGGATATGCTGTTTAGATCTTTCCTTTATCTGCTGTTTTGACTGGCTTTGTAAGAACACGGTGTCACTAGGAGCTCTTGTTCTCTGTGCTCTGTGGGGAACCCATTGCAAAATAGTCTCATATAGATAACTTATAGATAATATAATAACCCATTGCAAATAGTCTAATCCTCCAGCAGTGGAAGTGTAAGGAAACCTAGCCACACTCCTGTATTTGAAGAGGTAACATCAGCACCCACCTTCCAGCATGACAGGCACTGGTGGAGAGTGCTGGATCTTGGCACAGAGCTAAAGGAGGCAGGGCCTCCGCTCAGTGCTGAGCCTATTGAATGTTTTTTCCTGAAAGACCTTTGCAAAGGATGACTCTCATGCAAGACAGTCAAAACCTTCCAACTTTATTGAGCCATTCCCATCCCCAAGTGCCTATCTCTTAAACTGAAGATCAGAAAGAATGACTGCCCTGTCTTTAAAAGTTATAGAATCATAGAGTCATTATGGTTGGAAAAGACCTTTGAGATCATCGAGTCCAACTGTAAACCCTGCAACACCATGCCTGCTAAACCATGTCCCTAAGCAGCTCATCTACATGTTTTCTGAATACTTCCAGAGATGATGACTCCACCACTTTCCCGGACAGCCTGTTCCAACGCTTCACCACTCTTTCTGTGTAGAAATTCTTTCTAATGTCCAGCCTGAACCTCCCCTGATGCAACTTGAGATCATTTTCTCTTGTCCTATCGGTGGTTATTCTAGAGAAGAGGTCAACCCCCAACTCACTACAACTTCCTTTCAGGTAGTGTAGAGTGTGGAGAAGAGTCTTCTCTTCTCCAAACTAAATAATCCCAGCTCCCTCAGCCACTCCTCATAAGGTCTGTGCTCCAGCCCCTTCACCAGCTTCACTGCCCTCCTTTGCACATGCTCTAGCACCTCAATGTCCTTCTTGTAGTGAGGGGGCCCAAAAATCAACACAGTATTTGAGGTGCGGCCTGACCAGCACCAAGTACAGGGGGCAATCACTTCCCTGGTCCCGCTGGCTACACTGTTCCTGACACCAATCAGGAGGTCGCTGGCCTTCTTGGCCATCTGGCCACTCTGCTGGCTCATGTTCAGCTGGCTGTCGACCAATGCTCCCAGATCCCTTTTTGCTGTGCAGCTTTCCAGTCGCTCTGCCCCAAGCCTGTAGCTCTTCATAGGGTTGTTGTGACCCAAGTGCAGGACCTGGTACTTGGCTTTACTGAACCTCATACAATTGGTCTGAGTCCATCAATCCAGCCTATCCAGATCCCCCTGCAGAGCCATCCTATCCTCAAGCAGATCTACTCTTCCTCTCAGCTTGGTGTTTTCTGCAGCTTTGCTGAGGATGCACTCAATCCCCGCATCCAGTTCATTGATAAAGGTATTAAAGAGGACTGTGCCCAACACTGAACACTGGGGAACATTGCTCATGACCAGACATCAGTTGGATTTAACTCCATTCACCACCATTCTTGGGGTACAGCCATCCAGACAGTCTTTTACCCAGTGAAGAGTCTAAGTCATGAGCCGCCAGCTTCTTCAGGAGAAGGCAGTGGGAGACTGTGTCAGGCCTCACTGAAGTCTAAGTAGACCATGCCCACAGCCTTTCCCTCATCCACTAGGTGAGTCACTTGGTCATAGAAGGAAGTCACTTTTCTCAGGCAGGACCTGCCTTTCACCAACCCATATTGGCTAGGTCTGATCCTCTGGTTGTCCCCCACACACTGTGATTGCCTTCAAAATGATCTGATTCTTTCCCTGATACTGAGGTCAGGCTGACAGGCCTGTAGTTGCCTGGATCTTCCATTTGACCCTTCTAGTCCTCTAATAGCCTGACCACCACATTCTCCCACCAAAAGTCCACCTCTCATTAGCAGAAAGTCTGCCCTAATATCCAACCAGTCTCCTTCTTGCTGGTTTACTGAAGAGTCTACCCAGTCAACCTGCCTACGTAGACATGTCTTCTATCGCTCAGCTGGGAGAAACTGGCCCAAGACTTCACTCTCTGAGTAGCTGCTCTTCACCAGGTACACTAAGTATTTAATAGGTCTGTAAGAAGACACTAGAAATAGTAAAGTATCTAGAAGTAGCCATGAGATCTCTGATTGTAGTCCTTGTCTGCTTCCCTAACACAAGTGTCCCCTCCGAGTGTGTTCGTCTGTGCAGATGATACATGTTTAGGAGCTGCCTTCCATTTCATGATGTTAGCTCCTAGGCCTGTAGCAGTGGCATGGTAAGATGAAGGTGACTATATTGGGGAAGGGGATGCTGGGATTGGGGCTGCCTGGCCTGGCAGTCCCCATACAGCAGCTGAAGGACATTTTGCTAGGGAGGGTCTTGTTTCCTGAAGCTGAAATACTTCTCACATTCCTTCACATTCCTTCTTGCACTTGAGTTCTGTGCTCTTCACAGACAAGGAGAGCAGGGCAACCCAGATCTCTGTTGGCTCCTTATCCTGGGGTCTCACTTGCTTATTGGGAGAAGGAAATTGCTCCAAGAAGAACATGTCTCTCCTTGGGGGGCAGGGCTCATGGAGGCTGCAGGCTTGGTCTATGCAAGGAGCTGACAGTGAGGTGAGGAGATGGCCTGATAATGGAGGGGAGGATGGACTGTTCACTGGCTTTATTCCTAGGAAAGGGAAGAGGTGGAGAGAAGGAATATATCCCAGGGGTTGGGCTGGGATAGAGCTGGGACACATTATGGGGTGGGAATGTGCGGAGGTCTCCAGGCAGGGTAAGGCAGCACGACCTAACTATGCCCCATGCTCAGAAAACCTCCAGGACCTGAGGACTTCTGAACCTCTTCAGAATGTCCTGGGGCTTGGGTCCATCACCTGGGCATCACTCTAGCTCTGCCTCCCCTACATCCCCCTTCTCGCCAACTCCCATGGGGGAGAACTGCTCGCAGCACACAGGGATGTACAAAACAGTGAATGCATTTTTATTTCTCTGCTGCTGGAGTGAAACCACCATAATATCAGAAAACTTAAAAAAAAAAAAAAAAGTACTAAAAGGCATACATTTTTTCCTTTTTTTTAACACAACACATAAGTAAACAATTTTCATTTTTAAAAAGGTTATAAAGTGTCAAGATCCTATACCTCATCTGTATATTCGAAGTGATGCTGTCTGATACAAAAAAAAAAAGCATTGGGTATAATAATTTAGCTATGGCTCAGACCAAAAGGAAAAAAAAAAGAAAAAAAAAAAAAGAAAAAGATCCCCAGTCATCTGGGCTTAATCTACATACTACTATGATTGCCTGTGGAGTTAAAAAGGAAAATATGCAGTTCTTTGTTGAACAGAAAGAAACAGCAAGGAAGTCAAGAGTTTTCTGGGAGATCATGGTTGGAAGGAAAGTAGAACGTGTCAAAAACGCCCCCTCCCCTGGAATGTCTGCTGGAGCCTGTGAGCGTGACTGCGACCAGCCCGGGACCCTGCGCTGTGCAAAGAAAACACACATATTTTTCTCCCACCAGATGGTATCTAGCCAAAATCCCCCTGCTGAACTGCACCTTCCCAGCCCACTGGAAGCCAGCGAGATACAAGAACTTGGAAACTAGAAGTCGGTCATGAATCTCCCCGGGTGCTTCCCCACTGGGACTAATAAAAAACAAACAAATCCAAGAAAAATTATATATATATATATAAAATAAAAGCGACTCTTTCTGTTATAGACAGAGCAAGACTCTTTGCATCCTTGGAAAATCTGTTATCCATAAGCCTCATCCAAAGCTCTCAGCCCAAGCAGCACAATGTCAGCCTTATTGCAAGACCTATAATATAATTTTGCAAATATCAAGTCCATCAATTTGTCTAGCCAAATCTTTGTTAAAATTAAGAGCTGGCCATTTGCAATGGACTTGCTGTCCTCTTTCCAATTGCTGCTCCCATCGTGTGCTGTGTCCAACTGGAAATTACGGAGAATGGAGGGAAAAACACAAACATCGTCACCAAAATGATACAGGTAGAAAGACACATCTATGGATTCCTGGTGATGTTTACCATCTGCACAAAGTTCAGCTATGATCTGCTTCCTTGGCAAACCCTACAAAACCCTATTAGCTCTTGGTTGAAGCAATAGTTAATTTCTGCTTTGCCATCTCTTGCATTTCCAAGGGACTTGCTACAATTTGGAGCTCTGTCCCCGCATATTTTTTGAAAGATGTGGGGTTTTCATGAGATGGGTGAGGGAGGTGGCTAGGGATGAGAAGCAATGTCCTTGGACCTTGGCTTCTTCTGATACAGGCAGGAAACAGTGGTTTGTCTGTAGTCAAAGCCATGGGGGTGTCAGTTCCCTGGTCTTCCTGGGAGTCAAGGAAGAAGTCAAGAGTCATTGGAGGAATTACTGAATCGGCAAGTATGTCACATTTTTAAAGCAGTAATTTCTCCTTTCAACATGTCTTGGCATCTGAGGCAAGGTAGGGATTAACATACACGTTCAGAGATCTGATAACCAGCCCATACATGAAGGCTTTGATTGCTTCGGCCTCATTCCAGCGCTCTGTGTCTACAGTGCTGTCAGGCTTCTACTTTTCTCGCTGTTCTGAGACTTTTGTGAAGAAATGGAGCTCATTGGGATTTCTAATTCAAAACTCAGTTGGAAAACAAACAGAAAAACAGATGTAGCTTTTTGTGTTTCCTCTAAATCTTTCTGGACTGAAAACCTCCAAAGCTGGCTCCTCAGAGGTAGGAATCCAAGGCCATATCAACAAAATCAAAGTACTCGAGAGCTTAAATTTGAAAAAAAAGAGGACAAACTCTTCAGCTGAGGGACTGTTGGAGGAGGATGGACTTGGAGACCCGCCTGTGGGTGCCTCTGCATGAGGCCTCTTTACAGGTCTTGTTGAGGGAGTGACAGAAGCTACGGAGATGTGAGACCCATGGCCTTCCTACCCCATCCTTGCAGGAGGTTCAAACTTGCAAGAAGGGCTACAATGAAGCCCCTGCAAATACAGCTCAACTTCATGGGACTGAACTCATAGGGTTGCTCATGCAAATGGGCCAGGTGGAAGGAAAAGAGGACATGACAAGGGAGGAACATCAAGATTGAAAAGTGTATTGACATTTTTGGGGGACGTTAGCCTCATCTGCATTATCCCAGGATCCTGCTGCATCATTTACTGCCTATTCATTTTTCATACACTGACAGGGTAGTGTGCTCTCAAGCAGAGACTTCTAGGCATGCAAAGCAATGGTTCCCACCGCCAGCAGCATCAAACCCTCTGCAAGTCAAGGTACTGCCTTTAATGACCAGGGAGCACATGAGAGACATGAGGTTTCCTGGCTGGGAAGAATTGAGGCTCTTCCTTTGGCAATGCTGAGAGATCTTTAGCCACTGCTGGGGATGGAGCAGCACCTAGAGCACCTCTTTTAGCAGCAGGAAGGGGGTGGTGAAGCACCCAGTGCGACTGCTGTGTTCCCCCCAGCAGCGCCAGAGTCCTGGCAGCTCCCAAGAATCCTCTGAAGCAAGTGTTTCCAGATCCTTGACGCTTCTGAAAGCACACAAACATTATGGAGATACCCACTAGTGAAGGCACCTCAATGTGGGCAGCCTGAACCCACAAGATGCTTGAGGACTAGCCCCTAGCCTTCTGCACGCCCCAGTCCTTGCAATCCTCTGCAGCTGTGGGGTGAATGACAGGAGAGTCCCAAGGATTCCCAGGGCATCCATTGGCTCCTCAGCATGCCTTGATCAGACCTGCAAGCCTGCTTCAACCTTGCAGTCTGTCTAGTGGGCCATCTCTCCCCTTCCCTTCCCCTTGCTGGAAGTCTGTGCTGTCTGTCCACTTGGTCCCCTACACAGGTGGGAAAAAGAAAGGCCAGAGGACATGTGGAAGACAAATAGTTTTTCTTTTCCTTTAATTAGCAAATTTCTTTTCACCCTCATCAGAAGATAAACCGCTCCCAAACCCCCTATGTGCCCACCGCTCCAGCTGCTGAAAGCATTCAAAGGCAGAAGGTGGAGAGACATTGCATGTCCTGGCTCAGGTGCTGCTCTGCATCCACCCCAGAGCACAACCTGGGGGCTTGGGGGTGCCGGGCACTGACAGAGCAACACACTGTGTTACTGATACCACGGGGCAGGGAAAAGGCAGGTGCAAATTCAATGATGGGCACTTGCTGGGAGCAAATTCCCCAAAAATATATCCCCGTGGGAGCTGGAGCCCCAAGCCTGTGGGCAGCAAGCACCAATGCCAATAGTGGAGGACATGGACGTGCCCAGAGGTGCTTTGCACTCACAGGGCATCGTCAGCCAGAAGCGGGGTTTGCTCTGAGGTCCCTCCCTGGGGACTACATGGGAATCTAGGATACGCACTGCTCGGTCCCACAAAGACCTGCTGGACTCAACTCCAGGATGCAAGCAGCAGTGCTGAGGGCAGGACAGGAGGTGGAGGAGAGGCAGGGATGCTCTCCTTTCACCCTGGGTTTGGAAAAAACGTCCCAAATGAGACCTATCCCAGGCCCTGGCGAGCCAAAGCCCTGCAGCATTTGGTCCCAAGATTAGCTGGGACAGATGGTGCTGTGGGAGCTGCAGCTGGCCAGGGACTGTGACAGCTCTGCTACCCCCAGACAAGCAGCAAATGGTCCCCAGCCCACCCCGAAAGAAGCCTCAATGTTGTGTATTGCATCTGGAAGCTATAAATAAGAAAACCTCAAGCTTTGGGGACACAGTATTGACCCCGGCAAAAACAGGGGCCTCCATATCCAATCCTTGTCCCTCTGCTTCCCAGTGGCCCTGGCTTCACTGCTGCAAGGTCTGGAGGAACAAGTGCCCTGGATGGCTCTCCAATCCAGGGAAGTGGTGTAGGGAGAAATGGGAGAAAGGGAATGATGCTGGCAGGACTCATTATCTGTCACTCTGCTGAAACCTCTTTTGGTCCTCCCTGCATCATCATCTTGCTCCCCTCCATACCACTGCACCATCCCATGGCTCTGGCCCGCAGCTTTAACTTATGGGCAAGAGGTGGGGAGAGGATTTGCCTGCCTTGGGATGCCCGGTCCCTCCTTACACGGCACAGCCCTGGCCATGGTCCCAGAGTGATCCTGGCCAGGGCTGGGCACACATCACCCTAAATCGAGCTCCACAATGCCCATGGAGAGCAGTGGGGACCCATCTCTCCATGCTAGGGATGTGCTGTTGGTGCAAAGGGCTCAGCTCCTGGTTCCTAGGGAGGGGAAAGGAAACAGGAGGAGGAGGAAGGAGGAGAGCGATGAAGAACCACCATGTGAACTCATCGCCTGCTAAAGCCAAGAGTCAAGGGCGGTGCTGCCACCTCTCCTTGGGGACACGGCGGGTGGAGACAGACTTTCTTGGGGAGGAATTCAGAAAAAAAGAGAGCCCTGGCTACAAGGACATGTCAGTGGTGCTCCATCAAGGCCCCCCTGACCCTGCCAGCACGCCTGGAGCGGGGCCTGTGAGCAGGGTGGAAGGAGGGGTGCGCGGCGGAGGGGGACGCGTGCGAGTGCCCATGTGTCTGTGTGCACGAATTTTGGCAAGAGGTCATTGAGGTTACATGATGCAGCATTTGTTCTTGTGGTTATGAGGGTCCTTAAATCGGAGTCTCTGCTTTGGTCGGTATTTTTCCAAGTACGTGAGCTGCTTGCTGTTGATGGCTCCTCGGCGCTTCCTGCAGAGACACAGAAGAGAGGTCCCACTGCAGTGTGCAGTGCTGCCCTTGAAAAGGAGAAGACCCCTCCAAACCCATTCGTGCTGCTCAGCTCAGTGCAGAAACCCATGGAAACTGTGGCCGGAATAACTCAAGCATTTGGAGACTGAGCTGGGCTGGACTTCATCCTCCTCTAAGCTGAGCCAAGCACAGGCTGCTCCCATCAGAGCTCTCCCTGCCTGCGGTCCTGCTGTCTAGTCCACTGCTCCACCCTCAAAAAAGAGGAGGGACTGAAAAACCAGGCTGGCTGCAGACAGCCTGATTCCTTGATGCAGTTCACGGCGGGGGCAGGCGAGGACTCAAAGCAGCCCAGGGAGGAATCGGGGACACAACATGAACACAGCCGACCCCAGCAGCGGTGTCGCGTCGCATCAGTGCAAAATGTCGGCGACGCGGCAAGGCTGTAGCTCTGCTGCCTCCTTTCCTTGTGCATTGCCTGGAGCAGCAGTCCCCAGCACCAACGACCCTGCTGCCCCAAGGAGGCAATGACAATCTCCCGGCTGAGATGCTTTGGGAGGTGACTAATAACTGGCGGGGAATGACGTTGCTGCGTCTGCCCTGGCAGCACTACTTACTGTCGGATGAACTGGATGGCGTCTTCGTACTTCATGCCGCTCTCAATCAAGGCTAATGCGACGAGGACGGGAGCCCTGGGAGGCAACGAAAAGCAGCGGTTGAAAACAGGGTGTTTCAGGCAAACATTTTATTTTGCAGCTTCTTGTAATTTAGCTGCAAGAGCTGCCCCAAACAGTAGTTTTTTCCAGCACTGAAGGGGATAAAACCCACAGGATGGAGCTGGTGACCGCTGGGTTGATGGACCTACTCGGGGATGGAGCTACCTGTCACAGACATTGTTGGCCGAAAGGACATGAGAAGGTCCAACATGAGACCATGTTGGAAAACCTTAAAATGCCCCCAATAACCCCGAGGGTGATGTCCTGTGCACAATGTGCTGTCCAGTGTCCATCCCAGTCCCATCACTGGGGTCACCTGGTCACCACCTCGGCCTCTTCCTATTAACATCACTGCCTTCAGCCACGTTGCACGCAACACTCCTGCCAAAGGAAGGAATGTGGAGCAGCCCAGTTCCCACTCACCGGCCCAGGCCAGCTACGCAGTGAACGGCCACGCAGCAGCCGGGGTCTTCGCAGAACTTGGTCTTCAGCAAGTTGAGCCAGTCCTCCACGATCTTGCTTGGAGGAGGTGCTCCGTCATCAAATGGCCAGTCCTACGGGTAGGAGAGAAATGAGAGTGTCACATGCAAGCCAGCAAGACCCCCGCGAGGGAGCGGCAAAAAGCCCTGATGAACGCAATGTGGTACAACAGAGTCAAGTTAGTGATTTGCCTTGGTGTAGATCGGCTTTAGAAAGGAAAACACAGGTTCTTAAGAGAAAAAAAAAAGCCCATTTCCAAAGAGCTTGATGGGGGCTGTGCCAAGCACTGTGTTTGCCAGCAGTGACACTGCTCTGACAGCTCAGCCCTGGGGCAAAGCATCCAAAGAAAGAGCTGCTTGCAAAGCTTCCAGTTTGGTTCAGATCTTCCTGTACCACAAGCTTCAGTGCAAACCTGGTTACATCTGTGGGTGGCTGGAGCCCCGACAGATGCAGCTTTCAGAGGACAGTGACCTATCAGGGATGCTTGGTGGGGAAAGCAGCGTGGCGAAAAGCAGCCCCGGCGGGCAGAAAGCACGTGGCCGTAATCCTGGTGTTTAAGGAGTGAGTCACTAAGCTGCTGTGTCGAAGTCATCTCCAGCACAAGATGCTGCAAAAAGCCGCTAAGCTGTATTTTATTGCCGTTTTTTTGAGCAGGTAATGCAATTTCAATCGCCTCAGGCTTTGGTAGGAAAATAGCATTAGGGAATGCTAATGCCTGAGTCACTCCACGCTACGGAGCAAGACCATCTCCTTCCCTAGCACAGGGAACGCATGGGTTTAGCTGAGGACACAGGTCATCGGGGTCTGGTTTACTGGGCTTGCAGTCACTCAGGGGATGACAAGTGCTCATCCCCTGCCGTAACGCAGCCGTGAAGTCCTGCTCCTGTGGGATTTCTGCCCTCATCTCTGATTTTAGAGAAGAGCTGCCGGAGCTGCAGAGCCTGGCACGATGGGGATGTGATGAGGACATGGTGGGACGGCGCCCGTGCAGAGCCCTGTGAGGTGCCAGTGTCTCAGCTTGCTCTGCAGACATTCCCGGTGCGCTAGGAGGAAGAGCTCTGAGGAAGATTTTGCAGACAGAGAAGTGCTGGCTGAGAAAAGGCGTGGAGATTAAGGAGCAAACGGTGCCAGACGGGACCCGGCTGGGATGCCCGTGCCAGGCGAGACTCAGTAATTGAGACTCAGCTTGCAATCCTACCCAGCATCAAAGCACACTGCAATTAAGCACTTACTGCTCACACCCCTTCACGCTCGTTGCAATTACGCTGTCTCTGATAATTATCGGTGGCTGCAAAGGCCACACGCAAGGCTCTGCTTCTGCCACGATGGCCTGAGCGCCAGGGGAGTGTGCTGGGCTTGCAGGGTTAGGAACTGCGGCCGACTGCACACTCTGACTTCTCCCCACTGAGAAAGCACCTCTAAGCATTGCCCCGTCATCAGGCAGGATTGTCTGGGCTGGCTGGAAAATGCAGTTTGAGCAGAACAGGCTTTCTGCCTTCAGCCTCCCCAAACCAGCAAGTTCCCTGAGCAATTTCCGTGCCAGCAGGACCTCGAAAGACGTGTCCAAAATCAGAGACAAGGCTCCCTTGGCAGCAGGACAGGGGAGAAGCGAGGTCCGAGCCTGCCAGCAGGAACACCTTAGCTCAGCAGAGGATGCCGGGACCTGCGTTTCTGAAGTGCTTGGGCTCCCTCTGCTATTCCAGAGCTTGCTGGAAGCGCCCTGTTTTCGTCTAATTACTCATCATCTCCCACATGGGGCTTGCAAGCGGGCCCCACGTACCCGGGCACAGCCTGCGCCAGGGATGAGCAAGCTCCCATGCGTGCCGAGCACGCCTGACATCATCTCCAATAGCTTATCACTAAAGATAAAGCCCCGGCACTTAAAAGCTTCCTTGTCTTCATTCTTCCCCCGTTCCTCGCTCCCTCTGCTTTCCTGAAGCCACACAGCGCCAAAGAGTGAGGAGAAAAAAGGAAAAAGAAAAACAAAGCAGCACAGTTTATATACCCCCTGGATAAGATAATGCATAGGAATGACTCGCATCTTCCACGTGGGATCAGGCGCTCTAACACCCTGGACGCTTTAAAGCTGGAGTGATAGGCAGAGCTGGCAGCGCCTGCCAATTCGCCTGCATGAGTCACAGTTTCGGGTGCGTGGGCAGCTCGTGCTTGGTTTGAAAGCCCCAGAGGAATTGCAGAGCTCGGCATCAGGATTTAGCGTCAGAAAGCAAGGCATGGCCAGGGAGCATGTGGGGCAAGTGCCAGTGCTCAGAAAATGTTGGGGAAAAAGCCTCAAAGTGCAGCAAGGGTGACAGATGTGGAACGAGGCCTCAAACCCTGTGATCTCTACTGCACAGAGAGATCCATGCCCTGGATTTCTCTGTGCAGTAGCAGTGGACAAAACCTTCCCGTGGCCGTCTTGGATTTCAGGCCCTGGAGCTGTAATCGAAGCAACTACTACTCTCAAAATAGCTCTTCCCGGCTGCTGAGCTCAACAGCAGCAGGAAGTCCACAGTTATGGAAGGGCACAGCAGCTTGACAGCTATTTTTACATAAATTTGACACTCTGGAGGTGACCCCCACCTGCCAGCCAGGACAGCTTTTCCTTCCTGCGCTTGTCTGAGCCAATTCAGCTGGAAAAAAGTCCATTTTGGGGAATGGAGGTTGTGGTGGAGAGAGAGAACAACCGCCTCCAAGCTTCCCAGCACTGAATATTTCTTTTTCTTTCTCTTTCCACAGAAAAAAGATGAGACCTGCGCTGAACTCTACACAGACGCACTGACATGCAATAAGTTGAGTTTCAAGCAGTTCTCAGCGCCCTCTTTGCTCTCCTCCTCCTGGCAGCACCTAAGGTTGCCCACCCCGTCGTCCACCTACCATGACAGTGATGCCATCCTTCTCCAAGGGTGTCTTGTCGTAGGTCACCTCGCACACCCGCACGACCGTGGTGGCCCCATACTTCTTCAGATCCTGGGCAAGGAGGAGGAGAAGAGTGGGTTATTTTCACCCCGTAAACGTATTCCCCCTGCCAAATCCATTCCAATGGGATTTTATGGATACTATGGCTTCTTTTTGCAAGCCCAATCTCCCCACTCCTTACCTCCAAGAAGGTGCTGAGCGTGGCGTTGGTGGGGTTGTGGGTGATGAGGAAGCGCATGTTTTTGTAGCAGACCTCCACTGGTGCAGGACGGTTCATCCGGGCCATGACGGGGAGCCGAGGTGGGGGAGACGGACGCAGAACAATGATGGTGGGGCAAGTCAAAATTAAAAAAAAGGGGGGAAAAAGCGTGCCCGGGTAAAAAAAAAAAAGAAAAAAAAGAAAAAAAGAAGGAAAAAATAATTAAAAAAAAAAAGGAAAAAGCTCAGCGCTTAAAAAATGAAATTGAACTCAATATACAGACGTTGTGCAAATATTCCCAGCTCTTGGAAACGCGGTGGCTTCCTCGCCGTGCCGCGACTCCCACCCTGCCCCGGCAGACCCTGTGTTAAAAAGCCAGACAATAACAATAATAATAACGGCAATAATAATAATAAAAATTAAAATTTAAAAAATAAAAAGGAAAAAAACAAAAACCAACGATCCCTTGGCTGTAGCGTCGGCCGCCTCGGCGCGTGCCGGGGAGGGGGCGGCCGCCGTGGCGCCGGTGCCGCCGCCTCGCTTACGAAGGCCTCTGCATGGGGAGATGCTGCGGGGTCCCCGCTGCGTCACGTTACCCCATCGGGATATGTGGAGTATTTGGGAGCAGTAGCGAGGCGAGGCCGGAGCCTAGGGGGCCGCGGCGGGCGGTGCGGGTCGCCGGCGGGCGCGAGCCATGCGTGGGAGCCTCGAATGGTGGACGGCGCCGGCCGGGCGGCGGCGAGGCGGCAGGGAGGCCGCGCGCCACCTCACGGGCGCTGGGGCCGAGCGGCGGCGCACCGGTCCTGCTGGCAGGCGTGTGACGGCCCCTCCATCAACGCGGGAGCCCGTCAGCGATGGCACAGCGGCTGCGAGGGGAGGAAAAGAGGAGAGAGGTGTGAGCGGGTCCTCTTGCGCCATGATGGAAACATCTCCTGTTGAGGGATGAAACCGCCCCGGCGTGGCCACCAGCCTGAGCTTCAGGGTAAAAGTTGGATGTGCCAGTGAGGGGAACGAGTCTGAATGCCTGGGCTCCCGCTCGTATGATTTTTCACACACATTCCCATGCCCTGTTCATCCAGGAGATGCTGCCTTGGCCCCCTGGCCGCCCGCGCAGCTCAGGTCCAGCAAATGCACCTCTAATGCTCTTATGTCAATAAGCTCTTCACAAAGGAGCTTTTCACTGGTGGGGGGGAACACAAGAGCCTGGAAAGCAGCAACAGCAGAAGAAACATTTTCCCCCTTTTTCCCAAGCCTGGTGCAGATGCTCCTCGCCATCCTGGGCTGGACCTGAATGTCCTGCCCTGTCCTTCTAAAATACCTCAGCCTGCTGCAAGGCTGAGCACAAGGAGCCTTCAAGGATGAAGGGGAGAGAGGGGCAGATGAAGAAGAACAGCAGCATGTTTCTTGCAGGGTGTTTTAACCCCCACTGTGCCTGCAGTGGCCTCCAAAAAGAGGCCAGATCATTGGTGTGCTCCGACACATCTGCGCTACCCTCAGCACCCAGCACCAAGTGACAGTCCCGCTGCTTAATTAGATCACAAGGGCCAAAAAGAGGGGAAAAAGTGAAGGAAAATAATAAAAATTTTAAAAAGCAGCCTCAGTTCCTACCAGGATGATGCCAGAAAAGAGGTGATGGAGCCCGCGGGAAGGGGTGCAAGGCCACGCGTCGTCCCTCCACGACCCAGCGGGGCGTTACGCGACGGATTCTTGTTTTGAAGCTTGCACCTCTGCCGGGTCACCGGCTGCTTAGCGCCGGGCGGCCACAGCCTCAAAATAGAACATAAGCGCTTAAGTAAAGCGACACGGGTGAGCAAATGCTCAGATGGGTGTTCTACCTGCTCGGAGGCCATGTGTGCACGATACTCTCCACCCCGCCAGGGTGTCTGTGGGACACCCAACAGTGGGGTCCACGTATGGTGTTGGTGGCAGGCCTTGGCATGCATTTTGGGGAAACCTTGAGGTCTTCCAATGCAAGGATGACCTTAGGGAGAGAGCTGGCATGGAGGCAGGGCCTGTTTTGGGGAAAATGGGGATGGGATGATGCCCTGGGCAAGTCCTGGGATAGGATGTGTGCTGAGCACTAATACATGCTGAGCATCTTTGGAGGAGACACTTCCAAAGGATGGAGGCTACCACCAGCTGCTTTTAGAGCTGGCCATGACCCAGGAGGGGTGAAACCAAGCAAGGGGTGGCCAGCGGTTGGCCAGTCTCCTCCATCACTGCAGGACTTCAACAGTGGTTGGAGTTCCACTTGTGCTGTGGCCTTATTGATGTACAAGGATGAGAAAGCCCTATGTTGGTTGTTCTTTAACAGATCTCATCTCATCTCCAATGCTCTCTGAAACCTGTTTGCTCTATTTAAAGTCCAATAGCTCAGGGTCATGTGGAATGGTGAGCAGCAACAGCAACAAGGTGGAGGGGAAGCCCACCTTGGCTGTTGAGAGCTTCTTCCCGTTAGCATGCTAATTATTTATTATTTGCACCCCAGCTGTATGGTGCTGATGGCTGTGATTTTGGGAAGGAGCTTAAAGGGAGACAGGAGCTTGGATTTCACCCAAATTCAGGGAGGGGTTCCCAAAGCTGATCCAGTGGGAAAGGAGAATGGAGGTGGTGGAAGGCCATGCAGCGATGGGAGCAAGCCCGCTAAATGTTTTGTGTACTAACTCTTTGGATTAACGTATTTCAGTTAATGTGTCCTAACACATTTGTTCCTTTATTTTGTTTTGTTTTGTTTTGTTTTGTTTTGTTTTGTTTTGTTTTATTTTATTTTATTTTATTTTATTTTATTTTATTTTATTTTATTTTATTTTATTTTATTTTATTTTATTTTATTTTATTTTATAAAAAAAGTGAGATTAAGAAGCAGAATAATCTGCCCTGGTAGGATGCTCTGTAAACACAGTAAGCATTGGCTGCCTATAATGGGAAGTGATGGAGTTTGCAAAAAACGATCTGTCATTTCCCACAAGCTCCAATATTCAGCGGAAGCATTTCAAGTATTTTGGCAAATGCACATCCTCAAGCCCATAAACTCTTAATGGCTTTTCAATAGCAAATCATCCCCAGCTACCCGGGCTGCAACACTGATTCCCATACTAAGTACAGCAAGACGATGCAGAAAAGGATGTTGCAGCTAATATTAATAACCTGCCAAGTAAAGAAGAGGGAATACAGGAGACATTTTGCCACCCTGCTACCTTGCCTTGGCCCACCGACATCTGCTCTGCCTGATCCTCCAATCTAGGCTTTGTCTACAGCATTTCCCCTTTTTGTACTGGTCAGCACCATGTTCCCCAGCTCTGTACCTAGCAAAACCATTGATCAAACGGTCCAAGAATTTGCTTTTAACTTTCTTCTGAATTAAACTGAAGCCTAAAATTTGCTACTGGGACCCATATGAGTATGTTAACTCACTTAGATGGACAAAACAACCTTGTTCCAAAATAAATCCCTACTTCTTAAGAGAAGAGCCCTGCAGCTCCTGCACCCCATGAGAATGGACTGTGTCCTTTGCAGGAGCTGTGAAACACTAAGATGGTCCAAGGCACCTTGGGCAATCCAGATTCATGCACGAGTTCCTCAAGCAAAGCCAGAAATTCTCCCACATATCCATCCCATACACCATGGGAAGCCTTCTCCCAGAAATTCAAGGATACAAGAAGTTTCATAGCTAAGAGTCCAGCAATAAACCAGTGTGAAAGCGCTCTGGCATGTCAAGAGAGCAACCCAATGGCCTGAGAATTACCTGCACCTTCTTGGAGACAACAGCTTCCCACCGTGCCACCTCCTCTGAGCAGAGCCAGGAGACCCCTTGGCCAAGGAGTTCGAGTGATTTCAATGCCTGGTCTCTGGGAGACCCAACCATTCTTGGATTTTCCCCTCATCGCAACCTCGGTCCTCCTTAACCTCTTTCTGCAGGATGCTTGCAACCACGCAAACAGATCTGCTTGCCCTTCAACTTCTCTAACAGGCAAGCCTAAATATCTCATTTCCATCTTAATAGTCTGGCTTGCTTAAATTGTGAGGTTCTCCATGTTTGCCTGAGTTTCCACCCCAGCAGAATGGACTGCTGTTTCTTTCAGCACTTCTGTGCAAAATAAGGAGCTCAGGACTTCCTTTTGGCCACCAAAGCATCATCAGAGAGGGACATGTGAAGAGGCAGTGACCCTTGTCCAAAGAGCACCCATCAGAGCTTCTTCGTTTGGTGGCAGCCCATCCTATCTCTGCTGCTGTGTTGACTCACAGGAGTAAAAATGATGCAGGATATGGATCCTATGGCCAAAACTGGAAGGAAATCTTTAGCAATGCCAAACTTGTCAGCTATTTTGCTGCAATGGCTGAGGTCCAGCGTCGTGTAGAGTAGCGGGATACAAGGAGTTGATAAAAGTCAGGTCATGCTTTCCTAAACACACTAGCTCCCCAAGCAAAGGAAAAGGAAGCCTGGTAGAGCCGAATTTTCACACTGCATGTTTTTGAGCACTTACAACAAATACCCAAACAGCATGGACTCCCTTGTGTATAAATATAGGTAGCTCAGGAGGGAGCACTTCTCATTTTCAATGCTGGCTTTCAGCAAAGCCTAACAACACACCAACTTGCATTATATTTGCTTGACTTCTGGCCTAGTTTCAACTCACACAGCGAGACACCGATCAGCCCTTTGCCCTTACTGGTAATTAAGTACTGGTAATTAAGTAACGTAACCATGAAATTTTGCTTTAAAACGTTTAACTATGACGTGCGTCTCAGACCAGGATGGGTAGATCCATAGGGTGCATGACCACAGGGAGGAGGCGGAAAGGCACCACATCCGTTGCGGACCACAGTGAGGCCCCAGCCGGAGGAAAGCCAACACACCACAATTTCCTCCTACCGGTAGCATGTGCGGAAGGAAGCAGGAAGCAAACACGAAAGATCCGGGAGGATAAAGAAGAAAACAAAGCGAAATAAAACAAAACAAAAATATACAGCACAGGCCAACATCCGCAGGGTGGCTGGGAAGTCCTGCTCCAGGTGCAGGGCCGGAAAGAGCAGGCGGGGATGCGCAGAAAGCCGCGTCGCTCACTGCAAAGCGAGAGGGATAAAAGGCAGTGGGTGCAGGGGGAGACTCAGAGCACTTGCAGGGTGGCCCTCAGTTCAAGCACTTGGTGCATCCCCTTCTAGGGTATGTTGGACATGGACT